GACAGAGTCTTACTGAATTGCCCAGGCTGACTTCAAACTTGCAATCTTTCTGCTTCAGCCTCCTGAGTAGCTGGGACTACAGGTGTGCATTACCACACTTGGCAAACAGATATTTTTATATTTATTGTCCTATATAAGATTTGTACAAAACAGTTTGCAACTTTGGGTTATAATTATGTCATGGTGAAATGAAGGGATTAGTGAATGTGCACCCAGTGCAGCCAATGGCTTTAGTTTAAAGCAGCTGGTAGCTAGCATATATGCATGATTGACTCACTCCATCTGTGGGAACAGGGGAGCTGCCGAAGCTAGTCAGAGATTATAATCTGTTTGGCAAGAATGGGCATGCACAGAGAATCAGAGTACCAACTGGAACAAAACTGGTGCCTAGGCTACCGCTGGAATCTTCTGATGTCATGCAAAACAAATACCAGTGTCTGGGATATTCAGAAAATTCAGAAATGAGGGTTGCCATAAAAATCATGTACTAAAAACAGTTCCTTAAAAAGGCTCCCCACAGAACATTATGAGCAAGATTTCACATAGAAATTAAACTAGAGGGCTGGGGATGTGGCCCAGTGACACAGCATTTGTCTAGTGTGCTTGAAGTTCTAGGTTCAAGTCCCAACATATGCACGTGAGCACACACACACAGAGTCAGAGACAGAGAGAATATTATTTTACTGCAAGATGACCTGGATGATTTGGGAGCTTTTGCCATCCATTGTGACAAAAGGATCTAAATGTGATGATTCTGCTTGAGAGTAATAGGGGCAGCTCGGCAATTTGTAGGGATATTGTTGGCATACCAATGTAGGGAGAAGATGGTATCTATCTGCACTTAGTGGTTATAGACCTGGTAATTCAGGCAACCTGCTTTTTTTCCTGATGGTGCTGAGGGTAGAACCCAGGGTCTCATGCATGCTAGGCAAGTGTTCTACTATAGAGCTACATGCTCAATTTGAGAAGATAGCTTAAATAAAGACCCTGGAATACACCTGTTATCCTTGCACTCTGAAAGGCTAAGGCAAAAGGATTGCTAGGTCAAGTCCAGCTTTGACAATTTAGTGATTTAGTGAGGCTCAGCCCCAAAAAGGGGGGCAGGAAGAGGGGTGGAGAGGTCCTTAACCTTTTTTTTGGTACTATGAGAAATGTTAGAACTGCTCACTCAGGGGATTCTGTTTTCCTTCCATCTCACTTTGATGTCTTCTCACGGATGCACCACACAATTCTCTCATAAGCTGCTGACACTTGCTTTTCCCATTCACTCTTCTTCCAATGCTTATCCAAGGCTTGGTTTTGCTTTGTTTTAAAGCATCAGAGATGGAAGTATTAGAGACTAAATATATGCCTCAAGTGTGATATTTCAAGGTAGAAAATGTTTTCTGTAATACTTCGTCATTAGCTGTATGCCATCCCATAGTATAATAGAAAATTACTTTTTTAAATGATAAAACCCAGCTCAGTTGTAAGAATATTGCTTGCTTATTCTCATATTCAAATTTCTCATATCCATGAATTTCCACATTTTATCTTAAAAGTTTTCATTTATAATCTGCCTTTCCAAGTTTATTCCTGTTGGAATACTTTGCTCTTTCACTTGTAAACTATCAATCTAGTGTGTTATTGCTTATCCTAATACAAGTTTTTGTGCTTTTTCTGAGACAGGGTCTGTCTATGTAGTTCAGGCTGGCCTTCAACTTACTGTGTACCCTGGGCTGGCCTCAAATTTGGAGCAATCCTCCTGCCTCAGCCTCCTTAGTGCTGGGATTACTGTAAAGGCATGAGCCATCTTGCCTGGCATAATGTAGGTTTTCTTCCATCTAGTGTCTACCTGTAGCTCTACTTTGTTTTTGTTGTTGTTGTTGTTGTTGTTGTTGTGTGTTTTTTTTTTTTTTTTTTTTTTTTTGTCTTTTTCCTTTTTACCGGTACCGGGGATCGAACTCATGACTACCTGCTTGCAAGGCAGGCGCTTATGCCGCTGAGCTAAATCCCCAGCCCCAAGTACCTCTACTTTGTTAACTCCCTAATTTTTTTTTTGTACTACATAACTCTCTTAAACTTATATTCATTATGATTAGTGTTTCTGCAAAGAAAGAGAAGGGATATGATGGAGTTGGGAGCTTCAGAGGATGAAAAGTTTTGCGTCATAGGGGGAAGGCAATTGACCGTTGATGGAAATAAGTAGCATGAATTTGTACTGGGCATGGTCACCCTGGTTTCAGATTCTCCACAATAGTGTAGGCAGAAGTACAGCCACAAAAATGCAGGGGCTAGGGTTGAGGACTGGCACGGTGAACCTCACACCTCTACTTAACAATCCTTCAAAGGCTCCCTATTCCTTCCTCAGCTTTCAGAACCCTCTACCATCTGGCTCTCCCCATTTTTCTGGCCTCCTCTTATACCATTCTCCTCTTGGCTTTCAAGGCTTCAGTACCCTGACCAATTTCTTTCCTCTTTATGACTTTTGCATTTACTATTCCTTTGCTTTGCCATCCTCTGCTCCCTCTCACCACACTGCATCAGCTCAAAAATCACTTCCTCGGAGTATCTTTCCTGACTCCAAATCCAACAGTCCAACAGTCTCTTATTGTGTATATTTGCTTGTTTATTGTGATTATATGTTTATTTGTATGAATGCCCTTTTCTTACATGGAAATGGTTTTCTGTAGGCAGATACTTGGTCTATTTTGTTCATTGCTGGATTCTAAGCATCCAGTCTAGCACCCCTCACCAAAGGAACACATATCCAATAAATTTATTTATTATTATTATTACACTTTGGTTATTTTGGTTGAGACATCATTTTGCTACGTAGTCCAGGCTGACCTTAAAACTTGCTATGTTGACCAGGCTGGCCTCGAACTCATGATCCTGTTGCCTCAGCCTTCCAAGTGCTAATAGTATAGGTGTACACTACCACACCCAGCAAATAAATTTATTGAATGAGTGAATGAATGAGAAATTTAGCTATGGAACCTTAGGCAAGTTTCTGTTTGTTTGTTTCTATTTCCTCATCTGTTAAATCAAGATAATGGTAACTAGCAACTTCAAAATTGCTGTGGGTATTAAAAGGGACAATGTATATAATATGCTTAGCATGGTGTTTGGCATGTAGTAAAGGGTTAGGAAATGTTAGTTGTTATCATCATTAAAAATAAAGTCTATGAACAATCAAAATTCTTATGTATTGCTGGTAGGAATGTGAAAATAATGCAGCCAATTTGGAAAGCAGTTTATCACTGTCTTATAAACAAAGATGTACCACACAATTTAGAATCACACTTCTAAATGTATACCCAAGTAAAATGAAAATTTATGTTTACACAAAAATCTACAATGAATGTTTATAGTAGCTTTATTCACAACTGCCAAACACTGGAAAGAACCCAACAAATTGTGATATGTCATACTGAAGTATACCACTCAGCGAGAAGAAGTAAACTGTTACATGAATGAACACCAAAACCATTACGTGAAGTGACAGAAGCCAGATTCAAAAGGTGTATGTTGTATGATTATACTTATATATATATAATTTATAGGATATTCTGTAAAAGTTAAACTCTAGGGATAAAAATCAGGTCATGCCAGAGGATGGGGCAGGACATGCGGGAAAGTGTGTGTGCGTGGGTAGGGTGGAGATGTCCTACAACTGGATTGTGGTTATAGTTACATGATTATGTATATTTATGAAACTCATGGCACTGAAAGCTAAAATGGTGACTTTTACTTATATCTTAATTTTTAAAATAAAAAATACTCAATAGGTGATATAATTGCCTTTTCCTTTTAAACAATGGCATTTACATTTCCTTATTATAAAAGTACTACAGGTTTAAAGAAAAAGTATTACGGGTTCATTATAAACATTTGGGAAAATGCAGAAAAATATTATTTCTTTGCTGTCATTTCATAGCCATACAAATTGCGAAAATGCTGTAATTTTTGCCTTCTGAAATGTACATTTTGCTTTCTGAAATACATTGTGCACCTTTTCCCATGTCATTAAATAATTTTCAAAACCATGATTTTATAAGTCAATAATATTTCATTGTAGAGCCAGTTTATATTTTAAATATCCGTTTGTGTTTAGAAATTATATATACTGTTTATATGATTACTACTTGTCAAATTAAAAAGAATTTACGTTGTTTCCATTTTTTCCTTACTATAAATAATTTCGGAAGAATTGAAAAAAGAAATAAAGAGATCAGTGGGGCCAAGGGCTTTTCCATTATGGGGTTTCACAATATTCAACTGGGAACGCAACCAACCCTTCCTTTGGTGGCAACTCCCTCACTGGAAAAGTGGTTCCACAGGGTGATCTGGCTTCTTTCTCCCTTTGCGGTGCAGAAGAGTTAGACACCCTAGTATTTCCTGTATTACTAGTTTAAATCTGCACAGCGCTTTTAATATTTAATGCACACAACATCCAATGACAGAGTAGGCTGGGCACACGATGTAATCTGTTCACGATCACAGTTTATCCGGGGACTTAGGACTGAGGTCCTCACATAATCAGTCTTAGAAAGTAAACCCTTCCCCAGTTGGGAGACAGGCAAATCTACTTTTCTCCTCCCCAAAAGGAGCGTCGATCATCCTAGAAACGACTGCCTGGGAACACGGTACACAGAGAATCAAGCGGACGCTGTCCCGTCCTCAAATCACCGTGGCAACATAGGCTCTTACCAGGAGGGGTCCTTTCACCCACGATGGCAGGGCAACACCTACTGCCACGGCCCGGAGGGCGCAAGGAACTGAAGGATCACCCGCTTCGCAGCCCCATGGGGTTGCAGTCAGTGGTCGCAAAGCTGCTGGTGCTGCAGTTCGCTCTGGGAGGCGCCCCACCATCTCCAGGACCGGGTGAGGTCAAGCACGGACCTCACTGCTAAAGGGCTGGTGAGAAGACTCGGAGACAAGACTGGAAAGCCGCCGGGGGCGGGGTTTCCACTATCCCAGAATGCCCCGGATCCCGGAAGTGCCCGGCTTCCCGGAAGTGCTGGGCCGGCTGACAGAGCCCGGGCTAGTCAGAGTGCTGCAGCTGGAGGGTTGTTATTCCGGAGTCTGGGTGACTGTGGAGGTCCGAGTAGGGGGAATTGGGGCGGGAGTGAGCTAGGGGCCGAGTGGCGGGAAGATGGAGGAGGAGGAACTGGAGTTCGTGGAGGAGCTGGAAGCTGTGCTGCAGCTGACGCCCGAGGTGCAGCTAGCCATCGAGCAGGTGAGCATTCTGCCAGCTCGAGGAAGGCGACTGAGGAGGGCCAGGCAGGTCTGAGTGATGCAGTGTTAGGACCAAAAGGTGGGTGCTAAGCGGAGAGAGAAAGCGAAGGTTTGAGGAAGAAGTGGATGGAAATGGGTTACTGAGCCAGGGGAGAGAAAGCGTTCTTTTTAGGCCCTAATTTTCTTTGGAGGCTGGGCATCCCGGTGAGTTTGGGAGCTATGCACTTGAGAAGATGAAGCTAGAAGAAGGGTCCCCTTGAGTGGCAACGTCAGATTCTAGGCAGGTGGGGTTTCATTCATTTACCAGGCTAATGACGCTGACCCCGTAGCTCATGCTTGGAGTTAGGGGATAGAGGGAGACCTTTCTGAAGCAAATGGCAGATCAGAGGGAAATACTGAAAAATGTCGCTTTTATCATACTTAAAAGGTTGAGAATTCCTGCTGTTTGGGTTACGTTGGAGAATATTCCCAGGAGTCCTCTCCTATCTGCAGGAACTCTTCAGAGAACTAAATTTCCTTCTCAAGTTTATTAAAAATTGAAAGTCGTGATTGTATCTTTGTACAAGTCGTGGTTGTATCTTTGTACAGTGCTTTGCTGTAATAAAGGCAGAAAGTCTCCCTTGAAGGAATTGTCACATGTTATGATTTAACCAAAGGACAATTATACCTCTAATGACCTCTGAAAAATTCTTCTGAGTGAAGCATTGCTTCTACTAATAAGTAACATATATTAACCGGTAATACTTACCATAACTATCCCACCATACTAACTGATGTATTTTTATTGTTCTATTTGTGGACTTCTGGATTAGTATTTTTCTAGGAGTGCTTGCATTATATGTACAAACCACATTTGCTACATCCTGAGGATGCCAGGCCCTAGGACAAAAACCTTGTGTTCAGACCACCCTACTCCACCACCTACCTCCTTGGAAGAAAAAGACACACATTTTGGTTGTTATTGGACCTAGTAGGTGTTGTAGTTGGTATAACTAACACTATCTTGTGCTCTGTATTTGACCCAGAAGAGTAAAAAATTACTTAGGGAACAAGTCCCTTAAGAAACAGAATGAGCTGCACCCAAGAAGAAAATTAACCTGCTCCACAAAGAAGCAAGACACAGGTGTCAACTAAAAATTAGTGTAAGATTCTAGCTGAATTGTTTCCAACTAGATGTATTTTTTGGTTTTCTGTTTTTAAAAGCTCTATAACTTTCCAGTGCCAGTCGGTGGGACTCTGAAACGGGTTTCTGTGCAAGTGGTCGCTGAGCTCGGCTAATTAAATCCCGAATTTATCAATTTGGCTGCTTGGATTCCTATATTGTTAATTAACCCACTTCAGTGGGTTCTAATGGGAAAAAAAGAATGGTTTGCAGTCCAACAGGAATTCAGATCAAAGTTTTTTTGCTATTTTTAAAGAATATGCTTGAGATGTAGGGTAGGCGTATCTAGTAAAAGGCAGTCAAGTCAGGCAAGGGTCACATGCCTATTATCCCAGTACCTAGAAAGTCAAGGTAGGATTGCAAGTTCAACTCTAGCCTGGGGAATTAGTAAGAGCCCGTCTCAAAAATAAAAAATAGAAAATGACTGGTGGGGCTGGGGATTTAGCTCAGCGGCATAAGCGCCTACCTTGCAAGCAGGCAGTCGTGAGTTTGATCCCTGGTACCAATAAAAAGGAAAAAGAAAAAAAAAAGAAAGAAAGAAAATGACTCGTGATGCAGCTCAGTGTGAGGGATCTAGGCCCTGGGTTCAATCCCCGGAACAAATCAATGCAGTCAAGTGATTTCCTAGGTACTGAATTTTACCAGCTCAAGACAGTTATGATTTTGGGAAGTAATTTCTTCAAAGATGAAGCCTTCCAAAGAAATACAGCATCAAAGGATCAAAATGTCTCCTAAGAAAGGTCAAAGACAATTGTTAGAAAAGTTTAAGACATTCACCATATGAGAGATGGAGGTAATGAAGATATTTTTTTTAAATGATTAGCATTTCTATAATATACATTTACGGCAGAGATCTATCATATACCAGTGACAGCTAACCTTTTAGAGATAAATGCCCAAACTGCCACCCAAAGCCGACTTATTTATCGCAAAGTGCAAACCTGAATACTGACGTTTTAGTTTAGAAAAAAAAGCTCATACATTAATATCTTTTGTCTTAAAAGAAAAGTAACACATGCCATAGCTTCACCACCACTGTCATACACAGATGTAACTTCAAACCACTTCAATTACATGCCCTCACCAGATGAAATGCTGGGAAATCAGCATGCCATAAAACCTCTGTCACCCTGAGTATAATCTAAGAAATGTGAATTATCCATTTCCTCACAGTCTCCTCAGTTTCTGCATTCTTCTTACTGCTCCTGGGTGTTATCCTAGGTTTTGATGTTTTTATATACTAACAAAGCTCTTAATTTAAGCCAGCAACTCCATCTGTGATAACCATAAGAAGCGACTGGTTGAAATGCAAGATGAGAAAACTTAACACTAGATTTATTTATTTATTGCTAATGCAACATACTTCATAGGTGATTTAAGGAATTTCAAAAGCAACATATCTATAGTGACTTTATGCAATGACTTCAGAGCTTAATTTCTGGGTCAAATGTGATTCTGTTATATCATCCCTTCCTAATTCCTCAAATATCCCTGCTCTTGACAAATATTGTTTGCTCAACTGTGAATGTAACTCAGTGTAACTAGTATGTGCAATGCCTTTGGCTCGAGCTCCAGCACTGTAAAACAAAATATCCACATAAATATTACTGGCAGACTTTTACTCAATCTTAGACTTCAAAAGTATGAAAAACTTCTAAAGTCGCTTTATTTCATGTTCTTCAGTTGTGAATTTTAAAGAGATTTAGTCCTGTTTCTCAGAGGTAAACCTGAATGCCAGCTCTTCATTTCTTGACACTGTCTGCAGCATAAAATATGATGCATTGTAGGGTGAGGATGTAGTTTCAGTGGCTTGCTTAGTACATGTGAGTCCCTGCATTTGATTCTCCAGTCAAGAAAAACATATTGCTGCAATGCATAGTGAATTCTACTAAGACATCATGGAGATTCAGCACAATTTATTGTCAAGGCTTCCTAAACAAACCATGTCACCAGCTGGTTTAATCTAATAGTACACAAAGCCTGCTGACTTTTCTTTGTCCTTGAGATTTCATTGATACAAAATTTGTATTTTTACATTTGCGTGTTCTGTCCATTATGCCAAGATGTTAAAACTACAGGTGTTGAAAATTAAAGATTTACTTTAACAGATATTTTATTGAATATTTATTTCATAGCTATTTTATTGAAGTATTGTTACATGTGAAACATAAAATGAGTAAAGAATTTTTCTCTTCAGGAAACTTACCATCTAATGTTGGAAGAAAGAAAAAATACATAAGGTAGAAAGATCATAGTGATTGCTAATCCCTTATTTATAAAGTGTTTTGTATTTGACAAAAATTATGTATGTATTTTGGTATCCAGTGAGATGTTTTGCTATATAACCACTTGTTTTTATGTAGGTATTTCCAAGCCAGGATCCTCTAGATCGAGCAGATTTCAATGCTGTTGAGTATATCAATACCCTGTTCCCAACAGAGCAAGTAAGTATAGAATTTTAGATTTCTTTCATTCATTGGCTTCTGGCTTATCCTGAGTGTTAAGATTGGGATATTATACTCTGTAACCTGCTAGCTCTTGATAAACAAGTGAGTGTTAAAATAAAATCAAACTCTACGGTAAGCCAGGTGTGGTGTGCACACCTGTAATCCCAGCATTTAAGAGTCTGAGGCAGGAGGATTACCCCGTTCGGCCAGCCTGAGACACAGTGGGTTCGAGGCCACCCTGAACTATACCGCAAAAACTTGTCTCAAACAAACAAAAAAACAACAAAATCCCCCAAATCCAAAAAACTCTACTGTAACCAATTAGATTGGTTAGATAATTGTGTTAGAGTAAAATTCTTTGTTTAGTGATCAAATTATTAAAAATTATATCCTAGGTCTTAATAGTATCCCTCCCATCACACAGTTGTACATTGAAAAGTGGAAAGGATTTTTGTAGCATAATAAGGAAAAACTGATTGTGAGTGAGTCAGGATAAGCCTTGAGTCAAAAAGCAACTTTCACTCCAATTTATTTATTTCTTTCACTCCAGTTTAAAAATGTAAATTTTTAGATTGGGTACTGAACTACATCCCCAGCCTTTTTTATTTTTTATTTTGAGTTAGGATCTTGATATGTTGCTCAGGCTGGACTTGAACTTGAGAGCCATCTGCTTCCGTCTCCCAGAATGCTGGGATTATAGGTACCCAACCTGTTACTGTTTTGTGGGGTGATTTGCCTAGATAGATGTTCTTCTTACAGTAAGAACAGAATTAGAAACATCAGAGTTGGGGAAAAGAGGTGCTAGAGTTCTGCTTGAGTTTTCATTCATTCAGCAAGTGTTCAGTGTTGTCAATTACTGTCCCAGGCCCCAGGATACAAAGAAGGATAAAACTTAGTCCTTGCTCTTGAGGTGTACATGATCAAATATGAGGAGACACAGCTGAATACTGTAAGCAGGTATGGGGGCAGTACAGTGAGGATAAAAAGAAGGATTCTTCCTAGGCAAATCAAAACCTCCAGAAAACCCTCCGCCTAGTCTTGAAGGATTTATTTATTCATTTATTCAGTCAAACTCAGTAATCATTTATAAAGTATCCATTAAGTGTTAGTCCTTCCTTTAGAAACTGAATAAAAAGTGGCCAACATGACAGCTTAATTCCTGGTCTCATGGTGGCTGAAGACATGGGGAAGAAGACAAAACAAATCAACAAATGAAGAGACAAGAGATTATCAAGTGTGGTTAATGATGTGATGAAATGTGGGTACAGTGATAACATGTGATGGTGTGGCTGGTGCTCCTTCCAGGAAAGGGAGAGTAAAAGAACTGAAAAAGCAGCCGTCCCTGAGGCAGTCCCTGTGCATGCAGGCCTGCCTGACAGGGGGGCAGGAGCCAGGCTGTGGCAGCTGGGCGGAGCACTAGGTAGAGTGAGTGGCTAGATAAATCCTCAGCAAAGAGGAGGGAAAGGGGGGTCATAGTGGACGCAGGAGGCAGGATGATCACTCAGGAGGCAAAAGCACTAAGTCACTGAAAAGAGAAGATGAGAAGATGACTGGTGGCAGTGGGGGAGAGCGTGATCTGAGAAGTAAAGCTACAGAAATCGTGATTTTATTCCTGAAGAGATGCACCGAGGCTCCTGTAAAATCTAAAATTTATTAATTCCGCAGCAACAAAAATACTTACACTGCCTAGCTGTATAAAAGATTGACATGCTTATAATCCCAGCACTCAGGAAGCTGAGACAGGAGGATCGTTGCAAGTCAATGCCAGCCTGGACTACAAAGTGAGGTCAAGGCCAGCCTGAACTGCATAGCAAGATGCTATCTCAAAAAAAAAAAAAAAAAAAAAAAAAAAAAAAAAAAAAAGAAAGAAATTGAGCAGGTGGAGTACAGTTCCACAGCAGAGTACCTGCTTAGCAGCTCTGGGTTCAATCCCTAACACCGGGGAAAAAAAAGAAGAAAAAAATTATGGATAGAGGTCTGAGGTCCTTACCAACATAGACCTTACAGTTTCTCTTAATAATTAGCTGCACAATTTACCAATGTAGGCAAATTATGAAATTACAATGACTTGTATCATTATTTGTTAGTTGCTCTTAAAAAGTTCTGAGTTCTGCAGCTATAAAGTAAACATTTCTTGGGTGTGTACTGTGCACCAGGACCATGCTAAGCACTTAACACAATGAATTCTCCACTTGGTTACCATTCTTGTTTTCCGGTGGGAGTGAGGAGGCACAGAAAGACAAGGACACTGAGGTTAAATGTGATAGCACTGCCATGAAGAGGAACAGACCTCTGGACAAATGTGAAGAGGCTTTCCTGAGAAGATGGGGAGCATTCCAGGCCAGATAAAGGGTTTTGGACTTAGTTCTACCCAACATTGGGTAGGAGCTGGCCTTTCCCCCAGCGCTGAGAGTAAGGAAGAAGCACAGGTTGCAGTAGTGTCAAAGGAGAGGGTAAGCCTGAGCTCAGTTTTGAACACATTTGGACCACTTAGGTAGAAATATGTAGATGGGTCTTGGAGTGTGGCACTTACAATCTTTATGGTTTTTGTTTCCACATGCAGCCTTTCAAACTTGCTTTTTTTGCATTATGTCTATTTTTTCATTGGTGCACTTGCCAGTTTTTAAAATGCATTTTTATTTTTAACTAGTGAAAGTGGTTGGAGATCCCGCCTTCTTTTTTTTTTTTTTTTTTTTTTTTGATACCAGGAATCAAACTCACAACTTTGTGCTTGCCCGGCAGGCTCTGTGCCGCTGGGCCATATCCTTGACCCTTTATTTTTATTTCTAATTGAAATAAAAGTAACTGTACAAGTTCATGGGATGCGATGTGACATTGTAATACATGTGCAATGTGTAATGATCAGATCAGAGAGATTGTCATGTGCATCACCTCAGGTATTTATCGTTGCTTTATTTTAGGAACACAAAATGTTCTCAAAATATTTGAAATATGTAATTAATTGTTATTAGCAATAATCTTATTGTTCTGTAGAACATTGAAGTTATTCCTCCTATTCAACTGCACTCCTTTCTAAACTCTTTAGATTGACATACTACTTTTTTTTAAATAAAAATTTAAAAATGGTAGACTGTGTAATTGTCTTTTTGGAGATTTCACAAATAGCTGTTATAGCTCAACGTTTTCCATGAAAAGAAAATTTTAGGGTTAGGCAGAGATATACATTTGGTAATAACTTGCATAAAGATAGCAATTTAAAAAATTTTTTTTTGGTACTGGGGATTGAACTCACGACTGCGCGCTTACAAGGCAAGTGCTTATGCTGCCGAGCTAAATCTTCAGCCCCAAGATAGCAATTTTAGCTATGTAAATGTTTTACTTATCCCAGCCTACAAGAATGCTGCCACAGCAAAACAAAGTGTTAGATTTGAAATTCATAGAAAATCCCTAGGTTCTCTCCTCTTCCTGAAATGATTGTATGTATTTGTTTTTTTGGTACCAGGGATTGAACTCATGACTACATGCTTACAAGGCAGGTGCTTATGCCACTGAGCTAAATCTCCAGCCTTGTATTTGTTTTTTAAACTGTGGATGATAGTACAAGGCATTTACTGTTCTACAGATCCAGTTCTATGTCTTTTCTAATTATATGTCACATGCCTTTATACACATGGTAATATGTAGTGACATTTCTTAGTATAACTTAGCAAATGTATGACACATTTATTTCCCAGGTTTCAAAGTTACACTTACCAGTTCATGTATCAATCTAGATTCTCATGGACTTTAGTGAAAAAGCAATATAAAGTAGTGGCCTTATAGTTTCTTTTAACTATTGCTAAATTTTGGGCAAAAGCCATTCATATACCTCACAGGCCTTAAGCTGATTAATTATGAGCTTATATTGTTTAAAATGTCAGTACATCAAGAATAGATTTAGTGTCACTCTAGGGAGGGGATGTGATGTGTTTCTGTTGAGTGGTGCATGCTTGTGTGTCTTTTGCCTGGAGGCTGGAATGTGGGCTGGAACAGGTCCCTGGAGGTTTGGGTCACTGTTTTATCCAGGTCAGGTGGGCTAGGAAGCCTGATTTCTACAGCTGACAGAGCTCCCTGCCTGCTTGTGAAGGTAGCCAGATTGTGGTAGCAATGATCTAGAAACCCTTTTTAATCTACTGGAGTGAGCTGAAGGTAATCATTTGTCATGTTTTCACTGTAGGGTTGATTAGGGGACAGTAGATAAAATTTATGAAAACTGTTGTAATTTCAGTATAATCTCAGTTACTGAAGTGATTGAGGCAGGAGGATCATCTAAGTCCAAGAGTTCAAGACCATCTTTGGCAATATCAGAAGCCTCCATCAAAAATAAAAAGCTAGTTTAATTAAGAACTTTTAAAAAGTGTTAGGTGTTTTAAAAACTTTTAATAACCCCCCAGAAAGCTCTGGTTCTGTATTATTAAATGGGGAAAAAAAGCCAAATTATCACAATTTATTTTTTAAAGCACTATACATTTCCATAGCAGAAACAGACGGCAGCATACACAAATACCTGTAGTGGTTATACTTCCTGGGAGAAAAGGATGATTTTACCTATGTTCTATCTTTTCTATAATCAGCATGAGTTATTAAAATGCAAAATTAATGTTCAATAATGAAAGCATTTAGAAGTTATACAGTAAAAATTATACAACCCCATTGCAATTATACCAGGGGACTGATTCTCAAAGAGAGGATGTGCTTCCTCCACTAAGTAGCTCACCCGGATTTCAGTGGGGCTTTTCCCTAACTCCAGTGCGTTAAGGATTCTTGAATAGGAAAGCAGGAGTGGGTTTTATCTGTCTGGTGTTTTGGGGTAGAGGAAAAGTAGGTCAAGTACCATTGCATGTCTGTAATCCCAGCACTTGAGAGACTGAGGCAGGAGGATCATGAGTTTGAGGCAGCCTGGGATACACAGTAAGAATTTGTATTAAAACAAACAAAAAAATCCCAAATAACAACAACAAATAAATGAGCCACTGCCTGAGAAGAGAAGAAGAGCAGAGAACTTGGAGTCAGACAGACTTTGCTTAGTACAGCTATGCTACAGATCATCTTCATGACCTCAGACAAAGTGTCCATCTTTCAGTGCCATTCCTCAAATCCTAACATTGGGGAAGATAATAGTTTGCCTAGAATGGCTTAGACTAGGGAAATACTTTCTGTGATATATCCAGAACAGTTTTATAACGAACCCATGTTAAATGTGTGTACCTTTTCCCTTTTACTTCCTTAGTAGGAAATCTGGAAAATAGAGGAAAAGCAGTTGCCTGTGGGTCCACCTAACAGTCAGGTGATTATTATATTTTTAGAGTGATTCTTTCTGTTCTTTTAATAACTATATTCATGGAGTACCTCATATTTAAAAAACATTTCCCCCAAGCCAGCATGAGATCAAACGCAGTCTTCTTTGTTGTTCCATAACCTCCCTGACCAGGGTCTCTAGGGGTAGTGAAAAGACTCGCTGGATACAGAGCCGAGTTTATTTACCTTTTTCACGAGTAGGCCTTTAGATTGTTTCCATGTCTTTTCTCTCCTAAATGCAGTTGACCGCATAAATATTCTGGATTATTCCTCTTAGAAAAATTGGTAGAACTTAGCTAAGACCTTCATGTCTGAGGATTAGTAAATTTTAAGTAGTGTACCATGACAGTATTACCAGGGTGGACTGACCTCCAAGTAATACTCTTAAGTGAAAAAAGTATAGTGTGCTGCACTTACAGATGTGAGAAAGCAGAAGAGACACTGGCTCAGAGTCATTAGCACAGAGACTATCTGTGAGAAAGCAGAAGAGAAATTTTCAGAATCATTACCTCTGGGAAAGAGCTTAGGTAGAGAGGTGATTCAGGCAATTCAGGCTCAGCCTTCTGTAAGAGGGGCCCTTGGATTTTACTGTATACTAGTGGTGGCAAACCTATGACATGTATGCCACAACAGGCTGTCTGTATCATTGAATGCTCTAAGAAGTTTGCCATCACTGCTATATACTCTTTTTTTTAAAAAAACTAGGGTCTCAATAGGTAAGCTCTCATCAATCCTCCTGCCTCAGCCTCCCAAGTGCTGGAATTTTAAGCATGTGCCACTATGTCTAGTTTCCATCTTTGTGTGTGTGTGTGTGTGTGTCTTTTGAGACAAGGTCTTACTATGCAGTTCAGGCTGGCTGTGAACTCACTTTGTAGCCCAGGCTGGTCTTGAACTTACAACAAACAATCCTCCTGCCTCAGCCTCCTAAGTGCTGAGATTATCTAGTTTCCATCTTTTACTATCTGAATTTTTGCTGATATACATGGTTTAACAATTGAATAGTTTATGGTTTTTTCCTTCCAGTACCAAGGATTGAACCAAGGGCCTTTGCACTGAGCTATATTCCTATCCCCCCATTTTTATTTTATTTATTTAATTTTTGTACTGGGAATCAAACTCACCTCATGCTTGCAGGCAGATGCTGTGCCCCTGAGCTATATCCCTGGTCCCATCTCCCCATTTTTAATAATTTTCTTTTGAGACAAGATCTTCCTAAGTTGCCTAGGCAGGACTTGAACTTGTAATCTTCCTGCCTTAGCCTCCCAGAGTGCTAGGATTACAAGCATGTGCCACCATGCCTGGTTTACAAATATTTTATATTTATAGTTAAAATCATGTATTATAATAATATAATTTTATATGTGTATAAGCTATATAATTTTGATAGTTCTTATTTTCAGAAAAGATATGAGAATTCGTGGCTACTCTTGCCCAAAATTCCCAAATACTGACTTTTTTGTCTTTATTTGAAATAGGCTGGCCTTAAACTCACTGTGTAGCGCAGACTGGCCTTGAATTTACAGTGATCCTCCTGCCTCAGCCTCCAAACACTGGGGTTACAGATGTGCGCCAACATGCCCAGCTAAATACTAACATTTTTTAAATACCAAAGAAAGGTTTCTTTTAAAAGACATGAGCCCCAGCAGAGATGGGCAGGCCAGAAACTATTATGCCTCTTTTGCCTATGATGAAATAGAAAAAGACAGGTTGAGCAACTCCCCCAGCAAATTAGTAGTGGGAGAGGTGGGCTGGACCTCAGGTCCTTGACAGCTGGGTCTGCTGTTAACATTGGTAGTGGTGATTTAAATTACACCCAGTCCAGTTTGGAAGTGACAAGCCTGAGAGAATTGGATTGAATCCAGCTGAACTGGGTTCTTCAATTAAAGTAGCTTCTCCTTTGTGAGATTCATCATTACCCAAGACTACTTTTGGCCTCCTGAAAATTCTGAGTAACAATTGGGTCCATCAGAATAAGGAGATGTGAATAGCCCAGTATAACATCTCAAACACTTGGAACTCTCTTACCAGAACTGCACCTGGAAGGCTCCTAGCCTCCTCCTGCCACCAGGCACAGTGGGTGACAATTTATTTATTTATTTATTTTTTGTCTTTTTCCTTTTTGTCGGTACCAGGGATCGAACTCACGACTACCTGCTTGCAAGGCAGGTGCTTATGCCGCTGAGCTAAATCCCCAACCCCAGTGGGTGACAATTTATAAGCATACTTCCTGTAGCACTTCTAATTCCTTCTGAGGAAAAACATCTGTTGGTGGAGAGAGAAAAAGGTTTAACAAACTATTTTGGAAACTGAGTTAAATGGTGTTATAAAGTTGTTCCTTCTCTTATCCACTAGGAGGCACCACTTCACCATACTTTCTCATTGGTAACGTCCTGTTTGTTTTTCTGTTACCTTTTCATTATTGTTTATGTTTTATAATCGTAGTAGTATATAGTTAATATGAGTAACTGATACTCATAGATAAAAAGAGGAAAATTTCAAAATCCTTTTCACAGATTTAAAATTATGAATGCAGATTTCATAGATTATAGTATATTACCATGACTAGTGTGTATCACTTTTTTTCCAGTGAATCTGTACAACTTAAACAGTGAATTTGTTTGTTGAAGTCTAACATAGAGGAGTATACACATCTAAAGTGCATGACTTGATGAATTTTCAGTAAGTGAATGCAGCCAAGTAACCACCATGCTGATGAAGAAATAACACATTTTTAGGAAGCCTTTCTTGCTGCCGCACAGATAACCCCTAAGTCTGTTTCTAACAGCAGAGAGTAGTTTTATTTGTTTGTGAACTGCGTCAATGTAACCATAGGTATATGCCTTTGGTTTTAACCTTTTTTCTTAATGTTGTGTTAGTAAAACCTATCCAAATTTTGTGTGTTGTAATAGTTCATCCGTTTTCTTTGTTTTGATGAATTTGTTACAATCCTGTGTACCATGAGTTTGCAACTTTTTGCAAATATGCAGGTAAGTGCGTATTTTAGGCTTTGTGAGGCATGCTCACAACTTTTCACCTCTGCTATTTTAGTCTAAGAAGCAGTCGTAGACAATATGTAAATGAATAAATGAATATGTAAATGAGTATAATTGTGTTCCAATAAAACTTTATTTATAAAAAATAGATGTTGGGCAAAATTTGATAATAGTCACAACTCCTGTTGTACAGTGGTATAATATTGTGAGATTAAACTGATTGAGATTTTATAAATAACCTTTATAGCTCCTCAGTTTCCTGTGAGAGGAAATCTAGGAGGTGAAATAACAGCAGGACACTTTTTTTTTTTCTTTATCTTAGTCTCTGGCAAATATAGATGAAGTCGTGAACAAAATTAGACTGAAAATAAGGTAAGTGACACTGTATGATTGTTAATGAGAACTATACTGTTAATTTAATCACTGAAATCATAATTGGAATCACATAGAGCACTGAAACCTCAAATAAAAAAGATAATTCTTTTATCTAGGTTTCCATATAAGTCCTGTGGCAAGGAACTTGATTCTGTGGCCATTCTTCATTATTCATAAAAAAGTACATGTTCTTTTTATTCGGTTGGTTTTTGGTATGGGGAATTGAGCTCATGATCTCACACTTGCCAGGCAGGCGCTTACTACTGAGCTAAATCCCCAGCCCCTATTCATAAAAAAGGAAGGAAGCTATAATAGTTCATTTAAGTCAGTTAATCGTAAAAGACAAGAGCTTTTCTACAGTTTTTTTTTTCTCTTTTTGATCCTGGAGGTTGAACTCAGAACCTTCACACTGAATTGTAGCCCCAGCCCCTTTTAAAATTTTTAAATTTTGAGATGGTCTTACCCAGGCTAGGCTCAAACTCATGATAATCCTCGTGCCTCAGCTCTCGGAGTGCAGGGATTACAGATATACTGCACTCTAATATTTTTTAGTGATTTCCCTTCCCTAGTAGATTCACCTTTTTTGTATTACCAAAGGTCAGATTTGGAGCTGGGCTTATACATGTATCTGTTGCTAACCTACTGGTTTACAATGTGGGTCTACTGGTTGACCTGGGTTGTGGTCCAGGATCAAACAGGATTAACCCAAAATAGGAATGGCCAGGGTGACTGTTAGTGTCCTTTCTGCCCAGCTCCCTTGCTCAGGCTTATGCATATCTGGGATTATAGTTTTGACCTATGGAAAGTACTCTCCCACAAATGTCAGTTCATTATCTAAAGAGGTTGATTTCCTTATCTTCCTTAAATTACTTCCCATAATATAGTTTTAGGTTTTTGTGTTTATTTTTAGTTTTTGATGAATTTTTTCCCTACAACCTTTGGATCTTTTAATAAAGGTCTTTGCCCCATGAATGCATTCTTTTATTGGTGGTTTGGAAGTGCAGAGAAGGCCAACTCTGGTGGCACACACTTGTAATCCCAGCACTCAGAAGGTTGAGGCAGGAGGATTGCTGCTTGAACCACATAATGAGACCATGTTCAAAAAAACAAACCAACGAAACAGCATGTGCCTGGCAAGTGTGAGGTCATGAGTTTGATTCCTGGTACCAAAAAAAGTGCGAAGAACTAACTTTCTTTCTTGGTTTATTTTTATTTTTTGAGACAAGGTCTCAACTTTATAGTTCAGGCTGGCCTTTTACTCACTGTGTATGTAGTCCAGGCTGGCCTTGAATTCATGGCAATCCTCCTGCCTCAACTTCCTGAGTGCTGGTATTACAGGCATGTGCCAGCATTCCCAGCGAGTTCCTTACTGTTTTTTGGACTCTGGCTGTAACAATTCTAATAGAAACTGCTGTGTTATCCAAGGTTTGCATAGGAAATGGGAATTCCCTGATGATCCCATGATCACCTCCTCACTACCATACCTTTCATGAAAAGTGAACCTGATAAGAAATTCCTCTTGTTGAGGTGCCACTCTGTGCCCCTGTTGGGCCTCAGGGAAAAGAGGATCCAGAATCCATAGGTCTATTTCATACGTGTCACATAATCAGGACACAAAGGGTAAGTACTGATTTCATATCACCCTGGCTGCTTAGTCTCTCGTTTCTTTCCTCCTACAGTCTCTTGAGAAAGGAATTCTGTGGGGTTAACTTGAGTTCTCAGGCTTATTCCTTTAAGGCTGCTACAATTTTGTCGTTCTTTCTTTTTCTGTTTTTTGTTTAATTGATTGTTTTTGTTTTGAGACAGGATCTTGCTATGTAGTCCAGGCTATCCTTGAACTCAACATGTAGTACAAGCTGGTGTCAAATTCACAGTCACCCTCCTGCCTCAGTGCTGAGATTACAGACATGTGCCACCATACTTGGCTGTCTTTCCTGATTTACTCTATGAATGGTGCTAAAGTTTTACAGTCCTTTGGAGAACTCTGACAAGTTGTTAAAAATTGCCGTCTATCATCATCATTAACATTGTTTTGAGGCAGGATCTCACTAAGTCAGTAAGGCTGGGCTCTAATCCACAATCCTGTGCTGGGGTTAGAGATGTGCCACCACACCTGGCTGTCCAAGACCTCATTCTTTTGTCTCTCACACTTGTTTGGTTTTCTGGATGATTAAATAGAGTCTGCAAAAATTGACAGATAAGCTGGGTATGATGGTGCAGGAATCCCAGCATTTAGGAGCCTGGGTACGAGGATCATTTCAGGTTCGAGGCCAGTCTGAATTACATAGCAGGGCCCTGTCAAAAAACAACAAAAAAGTTGATGAATAAATAAATCACTAACTTTTTCTTTTGGTCTACCAGCACAGAGGTCATTTGATTTATATTCTTTAACTTTTTTGCTAGGAGACTGGATGATAATATTCGAACGGTTGTAAGGGGTCAGACAAATGTGGGACAAGATGGAAGACAGGTAAGTCACTTCCCCTCTGTGTTAACTGCACTCCCCTTAGTTCATTAAGACCCAGTACCAAGTGGCCAAAATGTCATCTGTCTGCTTGCAGAGTGCTTTCTTACGGATGTGTCCCATTCACAGCAGGAACCATGTGAGAGTTTTCTACCCGTCACCACCCCGCCTCCCTGCAAGCCCACGCTGCCCAGACCAGCCATGCACTTTCACCCAGGGCTCCTTGGAAGGACAGACTTTAGCACAGACTTTAGCACAGCTCAGCTGGTGCTGGGGCATGCAGGCTGCAGTGAGCCACTAATTTCCTTGTCCTTCACCTGAGTGTCCAGTGTGTCTTTTGCCCTTCTTTAGTTTGTGTCTGTGGCTAAATAAGGTCGTTGCTTTTGTCTGTCAGCTCTGCTGCAGTTTTGCTATTTTGTTACTGCAGAAGAAAGGCACCTGATGTAGCTACAGTCCCTCCTACCTAGCTTGCCAGCAAGCAGGTAACTGGATTTGCCTCTGAGTTTTACAGGTCTTATTGCATCTAGTTGAGGAGAGCTGTTGAAAGGGGATGAAGGGAAATTCTGAAGAGATATTCTTCAGTGATTGAGAGGCCAGATGTTATCTGTTAACCATTTTCTTTTTTATTTGGATTCTGTTCTTGTGTTTAGGTATCGTATTTCAGAAATTGCTGTCATAACAGAAATGCTGAACATGCCTTTCTAGCCTTCCTCTGTGTCTGGTCCTCCCTTTTCACTGTTAATTCAGTTAGGTCAGGAGTGCACCACTGTGATAGCTTCAGGTCTGTTATTTGCCATCTTTGAGATATTTTAGTCTAGGTAATTTCTGAAAATGTTTATTACACCACCTAGATTTGAAGTGAGAGGAAGGGCATGATTATGTGGAAATTTTCTGGTCTGTGAGACATCTGTTTCCCTCTCCAATGATTCACAAGTGTTGTCTCTCTTTTGCATTTTTAATTTTATCCAGCTCTCTTTTTATTACTCATTTTCTTCTTAACAGTCCTCTTCTGTTGGCCTGTTTATTTGTAGACATGCTGAGTTCTGAAAAGGGACACCATTATTGGGATCCCATTGTGTGGTCTTTAGTCCTTATCGCTTTGGTTTCTTCGACCAGGGTCTCTCCCAATGGCGCACTGCTTCTCCAGCTGCTGTCCCCAGGTAAATGGGGTCCTTGGAAGTAATAAAGAGGAATAGGTTAGCTTGCCAACACTCCTGGCTGATCAGCCTTTCTAATATATATCTGATCACATCGTCTCCGTCTCCGTCTTCAGAAACCCTCAGGGCCTTTTGACTTCCCAAATGAAATCCAAGATGCTTTGTTTACCTTTCAAGGTTTGTGTCTGTATTTCTGATTTTGTCTCTTGTGTCCTACCCATGCCAAAGACTTGGTGTTCTAGAAACATGCCATGTGTTTTCTGGGTCTATGCTTAGGTGTTTCTTTATGCCTGAATATTTTTTCTTCTTTCACTTTCAATAGCTACATTTCAAAATCTTACCCATTTAAGGGCCAGCTCAAATACTACTTGTATGGTTTTTTTCTGGTTACTGCATTTGGATAGCACCAAAGGAATCAGTTTGAGTGCTAGAAGAAATTGAAATTTGTCTGACCCACTCCTTTTATTCTACAGAGAAAAAAAACTGATCCCAGTGTTGGTTCATTGAGCTGTGTGTTCTGTCTGTGTGAGGGCTCTCACATTCCTCTGCTATGCTTTGCCTTTGACTTATATGGTCTCCCATGACCTACTGGAGAACAGGTCTTGTTCCCTTAACTACAGTAGTTTTTAAGCTCAATGAAGATTAAAAACCATCTCTCCCTTTTTTGCGTTTCAGTACATATAGTCCATAGGCAATAACATTTTATTGAAACTGTATTTCTTGGTGTACCTAAGAGTATTAATTGCAAACAAACAAAGTCTTTGATCATAAAAACGTTTTAATCAGTATTTGAGTATTCCTTTAAAATGGTTTTAAAGCCAGGAATATAGTTTAGCTGCACAAGCACCTACCTGGCAAGCACAAGGACCTGAGATCAATTCCCGGTACCAGTAAGTAAGTAAGTAAATAAAATGGCTTCGAAGCTTGATTTTTGCATGGAAAATCTTTTATTTTTTGATTTCCCTAGTGCTGGGGCTAGAACCTGGCTCTCACCCATGCTAGGGAAGTACTTTACCACTAAGCTATGTCCCCAACCCTTCATTTGTGCATGAATAGTTTGGCCTTCCTACTATTTGGAATAACATTACTTAGTGTGAGTCAGCCTGTATTTAGAATGGCTCACCAGAAACATTAAGAGACTTTCAGGTGCTTAAAATTCCAAGAATGTGAGCATAGAGTGGTTCATCAGGCCTTTGTATTGGGTCCTGCTCTGTAGGCATACATCGTACAGTTGTTTACACTGAACCCCCGGGCCATGAAGCAGCAGTACTGAAGAGGCAGGCGCAGAAGTAGGCAGGCTGCGGGAGTGTGTCGCACTCCCCACCGTCACACGGTAATGGGTTACAGGTTGCTGCGGCAAAGCAGGTCGTATTTCAGAGAGAAAGACCACATTTTCAAGAATGTTTAGATAGCATTTCAATCTGTGATGGAATTTTGTATTCGTCTCCTTAAAATCCAGACAGAGAGGAAGCCCAGAAGAAATAATTGCTTTTCCTGTCATCCCCTCCATCTGACTTTTCCAGCAGTTTGTAATGTAAGCTTAGGTTGAGTTGGTTTTTTATTTTATTTTTTTTTTTAGGGATTTTTTGGTTCCTGTCCTTGTCAGCTCCTGGGGAAGAAAATTTTACTCTTCAGCCTTGGCTGGTGAAGGAGTCTATTTGACTGGCATAGACTTGGGAGAATTATGAATGTTCCAAAATACTGAGTTTTATGGGTCAAGAGGCCCCAGGTTCCCCTCTTCCTTGGAACACAGGAAAAGTTTGCTTTTAGAACTTGTTTCCTCAGCTTTTGAGAAACACTCAGGCACAGCAGCATGAACAAAAGGTTTTCCTTTCATAAATTTAATCTTAATTGTGTTCAGTTAGAACAGATGTGGTTTTTAATCTGTATTTAAGGGGAGTGTGTTTACTTCATATTCATAGACTTAGCAGAAAAACTTTAAAAAGTTCTTTTTAAAAAACATTTCTGGGTAGATTTCGCTATACCTAATTGACTGGACAACTACTGTGAAGATAATGAGAGGTATACCATGGTGCTTATTACTACTGTACCAGTATCCTGCTTTGAAGCCAAGGTCAGGTGGAGCCCTCTTTCCTGATGGAGAAAAGGAACTGCTCAATCACCTAGCACCTTTATTTATTTACTCAGAAGGACAATGTCGACTTTAGTGGCTCTGCCTAGCAGCTTGTCTGCTTGGCTGGCCTGGGAACCTGGCCTTCTTGGAGCTGCAACAGCTTGTTTACCTGGCTTGCTTTGGGCTCTCCATGTTCTCAGGGCTGGCCTTGCTTTAGTCCCGCAGGTGTGATCAATCTCCAGCGTTAGCCAATCCCTACATCTTCCCCTTTTCTGTTTTGTAGTTGCCAGTGATGAGTAGTTTAGTTGAAGTTGGAGGTGCTGTGTTTGGAGAACTCTGTAGGAGGCCTTTTCATTCTTGAACCCTTTTCTTTTTTTTTTTTTTTTTGGTCTTTTTCCTTTTTATCGGTACTGGGGATCGAACTCACGACTGCCTGCTTGCAAGCAGGCGCTTATGCCGCTGAGCTAAATCTCCAGCCCCTTGAACCCTTTTCAGTTTGAATGAACTTACTTGTTTAGGCTAAAGATTTTTCAGTCCAACGATTTAAAATTCCTGCATTCGGTAATTTAACCCTGTAAAGTTCATTAGTCCATAACAGAAGTTGGTTATCAGTGTAGCTGGCAGTTGTCAGAAGGTGTTAGTGATTTGAGTGTCTTTTTTTAACTAACATATTACTGTAGCACTGTTTTACACATTTTGTGGTTATACTTTTCTGTTGGATGCCCAACACCAAGTTAAAGTGAGACCTGTATTAACTACAATTAATCTCTTGCCATCTGTCAGGGTCAGTTAAGTCTCCTCAGGAATTGCCTTGGAACTGTGCACAGCACCTCTTAGCCATTCTCTTAGTGATGCTCCTTAAGCACACTGCATATTGTTGATCACTTTCCTCTGAGGTTCCACAATCCCCTTGTTCAGAAGATCAGGGACTCACTGAGTTATGAGATGTCACAGATCTCTTATGTCTTGAATCCTTACCAATCTTGTATAGCTGGGGCCAAAATATTGGCTATCTTCTTAGCCCATCTATCTTTTTAGTTTTTGATCTCAATCAGTTGTTGAACATCCAGAGGAAAAGACTGATAAGAGTACTGTGTAGTAGATGCAGTAAAGTTAACATTATTATCTTATCTAAATATCAAGCACCTTAGAACATAAAATGGAACTGTCATTTTCTACTATCCATGGATATTTTAACATTTGAATGTCTATGGAACGTTGACAGTTATATATTTTATACAGAAAACTAGAAATCAAAGCCATACACAACATTATAGTATGACAATCATGATGACATTTTGTAACACACCTGAATTTTCATTTTGACATAAAATACCCCTGTTAGTCAATAATCCCTGTGTACTACATTAAAAAGCTTTTACCTAACTTGTTGACCTTTAGTGGGATGGACATCACAGGCATTTTTGTTAAAGGCAGAGATCTTTCTGAATCTGAAAATAAACCTGTCACCATGAACAATCCCTGCATTACATTTTGTAAGACTTGAACATTTGAAAAAAATGAAAACATCTGCTACATCATGAAGTTAATAACAATCAGTTGTCACAGTCATATGAAAACCTTTGTACCACAGCATCTTTAAATCAAAAACCTTATAACCTGGAAAACTTGATCCTTTTGATGATGAGCAATGTAAACGTATTGGAATAATATGTTTTTATTAACAGTGATTGAGGTATTTCCCATAAGGCTATGGAGATCACTGAGGCCTCCTATTAGTGAACAGGAACTGGTTAAATTTATTCCAGGCAGCT